GTCCGGGTTGTTGAAGTTTCTGGAAAAAAAAAAGCCAATGCAATTAATTGTAGGATTACTTAGAGTAATCTGTGAAAATGAAAACTGCTGTTAAAATGATCTGATGAATTCAGATTTTTCTCCTCTGTGACCTAAAATTAAGATTCCTTTAGCAAATGTTACAGCATGATTTAGATCAATGAACTGAGGTGAGAATAAAAGTCTTTATGATTATACATAGTATCAGGGATTTAGGCAATAATAGTATTGAATGCAAAATATATTTAAGTAATCATACCTTCAAAATGTAAGGTAGAACTGGGATTCAATGAACTTTCTAATTTATATGCTGAATGCTGTAAAAACTAAAGACAGAAAAGTCACTGTATCTAGGTTAGGAATCTGATAGTGTTTGCCTAACATATATGAGGCCCTGGGTTCAATACCCAGCAATTGAAGAAAAAGAAAGAATAAGTGAAAGAAACAAAAAAAAAAAAAAAAAAAAAAAAAGAAAGAAAGAAAGAAAGAAAAGAAGATAGTATCTAAAAATATTTAACCTTTATAAAGGGAAGAATTAGAATAATTTGGTGAACCAAATATGATTATGAAATTTTTCTGACCTATGGATATTAGTTTTCTAGAAAATAAACAGTAAAATTTACAAGACTGCCCCTTCAGAAAACTCCTAAAATTTAAAAACTGTCAACCAAAAGCTTAAAGATCATTTCTCTTTAAGCTATATCATATATATTTTTGGTACCGGGGATCGAACTCACAATCTTGTGCTTGCCAGGCAGGCACTTAGGCCACTGAGCTAAATTCCCAGCACCATATTATATATATTTTTAAAGGTCTTCTGTATCCTTTTACCATTTGTATACAATATCTTTTTACAGATGCTTAAATTGGGTACTTTCACATTACTGCAAAATAAAACAATTTTCAATAATCCTTCAATAAAAACAGAACAAATTGACAGAGACCAAAGTCCTATGGCGGTTACTGAGGACAAAAATTGAACTCTATAACAAAATCTAATGAATAGCTTTGCATGTTTAAAATGTATTTGTATTTCAATATCTAATATTGTCTTAAAGATCTAAAGCCAGGTTTATACATACTTTTTATTTCCAATGGTAAAATCTGTACAGTAGAATTCATGCTTTTGTGAACAAATATTTTAATCACTTTTCTGAGGTAGTCAAGGTAGCAACTTATACTAGTCTAATGAAGATTTTGTATTGGAATGTATTTTAAATTCCTAGCCTTTCAATGGCAAATGTAGTGGCATGAGAGTATGGTTGATGTATTGCTTAAACAGAGCTCTCTATTTTAAATAGTTCTTTAAAGCAAAGCTTTTCTTTCATAATGGAAAGAGCTCTTTAACTCGATGGCAGTCACTAAGTGATAAAAGAATAAAGGAAATATATATATATATATATATATATTTTTTTTTTTTTTTTTTTTTTGGTACCAGGGATTGAACTCACAACCCTGCACTTGCCAAGCAGGCGCTTATGCGGCTGAACTAAATCCCTGGTGCTATAGAAATCTTTAATGTATATTAATTTGATAAAAAAAAGTCACTATCATTTGCATAAACAAGCCATTGCAAGATACTTTACTTGAAAGGCAGTTTTAAAAAATATGGCATTTCCTCCCATATAAAATTTAAACACAAAGAAATGTTTTAATGGCGAATGTGATTTAAACCAGGCAATTCAGTTTGGAGGCTTGATACATTCTATGTAGTTTCCACTGATGTGTGGAATTTTAAAAAGATGATTTATAACAATTCTTTATCAGAACAGAGGGGGATCTTGCATTTTCTATGAGCTGTTGATAATTGATGCATGCAGTAAAATACCATATGTGTTCTAACTTTCCATCTTGTTTAGCCCAATCAAGAGCTATATAGTTACTTAAATAATTTGGTTTGTATGAGTATCAGAAACACTTTAAATGAAAGTAAAGAAATCACAGATCAAAGTTCATAACTATAATAAATAACAGCTGGCCATACCTTGTAACCCTTCCACTCCAAAGAGGTTTGGACCTATATCTTTCACAGGCAGATCTCCTGCAGTCTCATCAGCTGGACCAGACATGGCCTATCTGTGGAGAAAAGAAAATTCAAGTAAACTCTTTCCAAGTTATTACATTAACTATGCAATGGAATGAACCAAATAAAACGAATAAGGGACTAAAACTATAATGAACACCTTATTGCCCACATGTGCTGCTTGAAGAAGATGAAAGCTTCTATTCTAAAAGTAATACTACATTCAATAATGGAGGTAGTGTTTCTTTAAACAGTGTATTTCCTATAGTTTACTTAGGAAATGAGGTAAGATTATAATTTTTTTTCTCTTCTTATTCCTTTACGTGAAACAAAAACAAACTATTTAAAATTTAAGAAATATAGTTCCTCCTCTCTATGGCGCCTCTTCACAAAGCAAGCTGGCATCTTGGAAACAAGTCAGGAACTAGATTCAAATCACTGTCCTATCATTTTATAACTAGTTATGTCATGCAACCTCTTTGAGTTTCAGTTCCTTAATTTAAAACTGGAACAAATAATATTTATCTTAGAGAGTTTTCCTAAAATAAATATTATAGTAAATTGAAAACATTTAGCAAATGTGCCTGGATTGTCAAAATACTGGCATATTAGCTATTTGATGTAGCAAATGAGTGAATAGTTTCAAGTTTTGTGAAAAGAGTCCATAAGCTGACAACTGGTTTTGTTTTTTAAGGTGTCCTGCTTTTATCACCACAATGCCTAGGTTCCAAGAATTACTTACCTCAATATAAGGTTGTCCAGGTAACTGTATTAACAGTTTCTGTCCTTTATAGAGATATACCACAGTAACTTTATTTCATACATTAATATGGTGTACACAATGTTCACCATGCAAAAATAAATACAATGTTATATTTTAATTTCCACCTACCTAAAAAGTGAGATGCAAACTGCCAATGAAGATACTCTAAGGCAAAGGTTCTAAAGTTCTAGAATGTTCGCTCTAGAATGTGAAGATCAGAAAAGCAGGAAGTTCGTTATTAAATCTCCGTATTTTTGGAGGTTGGCAGGGCTATGTGAATTCAGAGAACAGGAACTCACTAAATATTTGACTAGATGATAATCAGGATCTGAAATCCAGAGCTCATTTACAAAAATGTGTATGTCCATGTGTATACAGGGAGAGGGCCTGGGAAAATGACTACTCCTTTGGGAAACACCACTACACAAAAGGTCGATTTTAGAATTCAAATGATCAAGTTTAAACACAGGTCATCTGTGAAAACGACTGCTTTTCCATTAATGTGTAAGTTCATTTTACAGTAATGATGATGATAACATTTAGTGAATGGTTTTTTTTTTTTTTTTTTTTTTTACTGGTACCAGGGATCGAACTCATGACAGCCTGCTCACAAGGCAGGTGCTTATGCTGCTGAGCTAAATCCCCAGCCCCTAGTGAATATTTTGTGATGAGGTTGGGAGTGTTCAGGGTGGTATGGTTGTAGACTTACTGAAAGTTTTCAATGCTTACAATAGGCACTGTTAAGTGCTGTACTTAATTCATTAATATGAGTTAATTAGAAAACCTTACAGTATCTTGTGAGATTGTTAGTCAAATAATTTCTTCAAACAAGGAAGCTGAGAGGTAACTTGCCCAAGGATACTCACCTAGGAATTAGTTATCTGGGGATATTTGGTTGTCACAACTGGAAAGGAGAAGAGTTACTGGCCTTTAGTAAGTAGATGCTAGGAATGAGGATAAACCTCCTACAGTGCATAGGATCCACGACCATGAGTTATCTGGCCCAAAATGTTAACAGTTTAAAAAGTTGAGATACTCTGCACAATACTTCAATGCCTCTCTAACACTGTCTCAAGCTTTCCCTCCTTACTAATTAGTCTCCAAGTATAGGGTACTCCTTTGCCCTAGGCCATCCACCGTTATCCTGATTGAGGTCTTTGCGTTGACAGATCCTCAGTCTTTGGAGCTCAGGCTTCTAAGGCTTTTCCTGACCATACTGTGTTACTGTAGCTTTCTTTCTAATTTCTTCACGGTTTATTTCGTTTATGATAGAGCAATGGCCTCTATCTAAAATTATCTCATTTATTAACTAGTTCACTGTCTCCACTAATAAAGTATAAACATCTTGAGATGAGTATTGTCTTGTTCAGAGTTACTTGGAAATAGTGGCTACCGCACGGTGAACGGCAACATTAATATTTACTGAATGAATAAATGAATACAAGAAAACAGAAACTAAAATGGTAAACAAAGTCTTTACCTTTAAGACGTTAACAGGTTGTAGGTAGTAGACAATAAATATATAAATATCTAAGTAGGTAACAATAAATATATAAGTAGGTAACAATATGTAACTCAGGAGGTATAGGGTCTACCAATCAATTCTGAGCCCTGGATAAATGGCCGATCTGGTTAAGGATGACAGCTCTCATCAGGTATAGTTTATGGTTGGGACTCAAGATTTCAAATCGGTTCAGAGAGTGAGGAAAAGGATGAGTTGTGATACAGGCCTGAGAATGGAGAGATGTCTAGGGCTGGGCTGCTTTTCCCGCAGTAATTCCAGGGCCTTCCGCAGGTGTAGAGCAGACCCCATATCCCTGGACGGTGTTGCAGTAGGAGTGCTTGCCAATCTCCATTTACCCTCATCCTCACCCAGGGTACTCACCAGCACTCTTTCCAGGCCGCTAGCTAGCTACCGTTGCTATGGCGCCGACAGCGTGTGTTTCGCCTGCTGACCGAGAGGCGCACGGGAGAAACATGGCCGACCCCTTTGCCCCTTGGGAAATGTAGTTCTCATTGGGCGCTAGGTTATCGGCTCGCTGTGCAGAGGACTACGCTTGCCCAGCTGTGGAACTTGGGAAATTCTCAGGCTCTAAAGCCCTGTGCGCTGTCGGGTGTCTCGTGTTGCATCCTGGGAATGATAGTTCTCAAATCTCTGGTGCCGGTGGCCGCTGCGCGGTGAAAGAACTACACATGGGAGGCGGGGTCCTAGGCGAAGGTTTTACGCGATCGCGTTGGCTAAGGCGACTTTACTATCAGCATGAAGCGCACTCAAACCGCTGAGGAAGAAGAGCGCGAAGCTAAGGTACGTTGAGTGTTTTGGGATAGTGGTTCTGCAAGCTGCTGGAGCTGGGGCCAGAGGAATGGAAGGGTTTGCTTTATGGTGAGCGGATGCACGGTGTTGAGTCAAAGGATGATACGGCCTTGTCTGCAGGAGATCTGGAGACAGTGTGTGTGTGTGTGTGTGTGTGTGTGTGTGTGTGTGTGTTTATGTTGCAAATTCGATTCTTGTTGGAGCAGGCCGAGTCCTGTTGGAGCAGCTGAGAAATAAAAACCGTGACAGTCCTCTCCTTGTCCTGTCCTCCACCTATTCTTAGTAAAATTTGTAGATACCTTTGTGGCCTCAATTTTTCGGGCTCTTAGATGGCTATGATCCTTCCAGCTGTGCTGTGTCATTTCGTTACAGTCCCTAAGGATTGAAATCTGATTAGATGAAATATCTGTGGAGTCAGGTATTTTTACTTGAAACAGTTGTCTCAATGACCAGTTGATAATAGCCTCAGTCTTAAGCACTGTGAATGTGAACCTTTTACTATTCTTCCTGTTCTTTGCCTTTGATGGTCAGCTCTACTGGCTGTCTCAGTGACCATTATAGCAAAAACGATTTATTTGTTTATTTGCAAGGTTTATTGTGTCAAGTACCTGCGTTAGGTGCATAATATTTGTATTACTTTACTTTGCTATCACAGCAGATTACTTTCCATTACATATAGATGGATTATCAACAGTCTTGTTGCACAGATGAATAATTTAGGGCAAGAACAATTGAGTGCTTTCCTTTCCCCTATTCCCAAAATTGTGTCCTTTTAATTTGTCTGAATGTATTGACAGTCTGTTCCCTTTTTCATTTCCGATACCTCTGTCCAACCTAAAATATTTGCAATGGATTATTGCAACAGCCTTCTATTAGACTACAAGAACTCTCTTAACTTCTCTATCTCCTCTTTCCCCACAACCCTGCTTTTCTCTGCCATAAAGTAATTTTTTTTTCAACATTCAAACCGAATTTTGTTCCTTTCTTTCCTCCTTACATGCTTATCTTCTGTGGCCGTTTCGTTGCTTTTAGGGTAAAGACAACTTTAGCCTGAAAGATCTACATCTTTTGGGTCCTGTCTGCTTTGATAATCTCTTTGGGCATGACACTCAGCCCGTCTGTCACTTTAACCTTCTCAAGAGTCACTATTGCTTGTAGTTCATCTCATCACTGAACCTTTGCACATGTTCTTTGATGCCTACTTGATGTTAGGTAAATATTGCCAGGGAACATCAGTGGCAAATAAAATAGGTATAGTTTTTGCTCTCGTAGAATTTAGTTTTCAATCTTTGGCCATAGATCTAGGGATTTAAGATATCAACTCTGATGTATGATAACCTGAATTACAAGAACGTTTTACAAGGAACCTGAAGTTTACATGTTCAGTCTGCATATGATGTGGGTAAAATACTGTAGATTGGTACAGAGGGCGATAACCCTACTGGATTAGTCTACATAATGCAAAGAAACAATTAAATGTGGCCCAGTATCATTGTGCATTATGTCTTTCTCAGTTTTCAGGTTTATTTTTAATGTGATTCATTTATTCTTTAGATTTATAAAGCAACTATTACTGTATTTGCTCACTGAGAACATAATTTTAGCTAAGATAAAAACATTGCTTCAAAGGAACTCTTACTTTATTGAAACCATAACTGTTGCTTGTGAGATACTTATTAGTGTCATTCACATTTTAGGGAAAGTGATGCTTGTAGAAGACCTAAATTGCTTGAGGCTACCTGGTTATGAGGTAGAACTGGGCCACAGAACCACAACTTCACATCTTTTCCATTTTCTGCTTGTGAAACATGTTGAATTTCTAGACCTGTTGCCTTTTTTTTTTTAAAGGTACTATGTAGTCCAGACTGGACTTGCTCACCATCCTTTTGCCTCAACATCCTGAATGTGCCATCACTGTACCTAGCTTTATTTGCTTTACAATTTTTCTTTAGTCTTTTTTTAAAATTAACTCACTTAGGAATTACTGGTTAGAACAAAGTATTGTAGTTGTTTTACATCTTATATAGAATGTGCAATTACTCATGAATTATTGTTTTTTTAATAAACTTTATTCAGGTGTAATTCACAGGCATTTATAATATACAGTTTGATGAATTTTGACACACATACATATATATACATATATCTATATATATGTATATATATAGATATGTATATATATAAATATGTATATATATATATATATATATATATATATATATCTGGAAAACCACCACACTTGTCATAGAGAACTTTTGAAAACTCTTCTCTTACTCATTTGCAGCCAGTGTCACCTTCCACCTTGGTCCCAAAACAATCACTAATATGTTTTCTGTCATTGTAGATGAGTACATATTTTCTAGAGGCATGAATTCCATATAATGGAAGTACTGTTATTTATAATAGTATCTTTGCTTGGGTCTTTTTTCATTCATTTCATTTGAGATTTATCCATGTTATTGCATGTGTCTCTCATGTCTCTCAGTATAAATATATATATATATATATGTATATATATATATATTTTTTTTTTTTGTTGTTGTTGTTGTTGTCACTGAATAACAGTCTGTTATGTGGATGCATAGTCATTGTCTTAGTTTCTTTTCCCTCATTTCTGAGACAAAATATCTGACACCCAAAGTTAAAGGAGGGAAAGTTTATTTCGCTCACAGTTTGTAAACATTTCAGTCCATAATCAGCAGGGTCCAAGGCTGGGTGGCTTGGCAGAGAAGTGTTACAGAGGAGAACCAGTTCATGGCAGCCAGAGGTAGCAAACCAATAAGAAGGCTTACCAACATCTTTCTGCCCCTTATTCCTTTTTTGTTTGTTTTTTGGTACCTGGGATCGGACTCATGACCTTGCGCTTGCAAGGGAAGCACTTAAGACCACTGAGCTAAATTCCCAACCCCAAAACTTAGAGACTTTTTTTTTCTTGGTACCAGGGATCAAATTTAGAACTTTGCATTTGCCAAGCAAGCACTTACTCTGCTGAGCTAAACCCTCAACAGGGATCAAACTTATGACTGCGGGCTTGCAAGGCAGGCGCTTATTATGCCACTGAGCTAAATCTCCAGCACCCCACCCCCATCTTATCCATACTGCTGGGGTTAGGGCCTTGCCAAACCAATCACTGGACTGACTAGTTACCATACACCCTAAATTCCCGCATCACACACTTGGCTTCAGCCACCTCTGAAAAAGCCCTGTGACCCCATGAGGCTTTGAGGGGACATCTAGACACAAACCATAACAGTCTGTTCATTGCTGGATCTTTGTATTGTTTCTGCTTTTGGGTTGTTACAAAAAGAGCTGCTAGGATTATTCATGTTTGAACCTTTTCCTGTTCCTTTTTATTGTGTATTGTCTTTGTGTGCAGTTTTTTCCCTCTGCCTCAGTAGGCAACCGCAAATGTATTTGTTCTTTAGATTTACCTTTTCTGGACATTTTAATGTAAGTGGAATGTAACATCCACTGGGTAGGGAGTAGAATGTATCTGCTGCAGATAAGGGAAGACTAATGTATCTTAGAGTGTGAGGCTTTAGAAGTCTAGAGTTGAATTCTACTTTATTACTAACTTAAATTTCTCTCAGTCTCAGGTGTCTTCTACAAAATTCTACAAAATTGAAGTAACCTTTGTAGGGGTAGGAAATGAGATACAGGATGTTTTTGGCTTGTAGTAAAAATAAACAGTGTTTTTATCATCATTAACTCATTGTTGTGGTCTTTACTGCCTTCACTATTGCCTAGCAGATTCTAGTAGATATTTAGCTTAAATTTAGAACATTTGTTTTGTAACCTTGTACTGGGTGTCAGCATAGCCAGGTATTTTCATCTGGGTTTGTTTAACTTTTCTACTATGCAACTAAAATGGAAAGAAAATAAAAGGTTGTTGAAGTCATTCTCAGCATCTGTGGTTCAGATGAGGAACTTAGTTAAGTTCTTCATCCTTTAAGACTGCAACATAAAGGTAAGCATAGATGTTATAGTTCTGTGGAACTTGCTGTCTTTCCGTGGAAGACAGATAGTTAAGAATGTACTAACAATAGAGTGGTAACTTTTATCACGAGAAAACACGTGGTGACAAGGATACCTACTGGTTTATGGTCTAGACCAGTGGTGGTAAACGTATGGCATGTTCGCTGCAGTGTGAAAAGTGTATGAATTATTTTTTCTAAACGAAAACCTCAGTATTCAGGTTTGATTGCCCTGTTGACACTTCATGATAAATAACTGGGTTTTGCGTTGCCTTTGGGCAGTCTCTGAAGGTCTACACTAAAAGTTACAGAATTCCTTCCTTAGGATGATCTGTTTAACCGAGGGTGGTGCTGGTAATGGGAGGAGATCATAGAATCTTTCCTGATGTTTAAGATGCCTGAACCTTGTGAGATGTCTGAAACTGATGCTTTTAGAAATATAACTGTCATTGGTTATAGAATAAAGAGGTGTGGATGTTGCGTTACAAATTGACTCTAATGATTCTTAACTTGGCTTGCCATATAGTTTCTTAAAATACTGGAAATAGAAATAGTTCATTATTGAAATGCTGTACACTTAATAAGAACATTTGTTAATTTTGTTTAGTAATTATAGTTTTATTAGTGAACAAACTAAAACAAAGTAGATTTTATATATTTTGACTTTTATGAAATTTTTATTAGTACATATATGCAATATGTAATATTAACATCCTTTGTGACGAGTTGATACATGTACATAATATATCTTAATTCTTTTATTCCCTTTCCCTTTCCTTCCTGTCTCCTCACTCCATATCTTAACTCCTTCCCTTTTGTAAAAGATCTATCTCACTATTGCTAATCATCTTTTTTTCCTTTTTGTTTACAATCGGGTTTTCTCATGTAAGGGAAATCATGAGATGTTTAATTTTGTGTGTCTGATTTATTTTACTTAACATTATGATCTCAAGGTGCATCCATTTTCCTACAGATGACTCGAGTTTATTTTTCTTTGTGACAGAGTAGAATTCTCTT